TGAATCACTTGTTTACATAAGTCATGCAATCCCGTAAATAAAAGGATTTTGTTGCATGATTTGTTGATTTTTGCAACTTATAAATTCAAATCATCGATCAATTCCACGAACTTGGAATAATTTACAAAATAATTAAAATTTTGTTACACAACCAAATTAGATTCCAAAACAAATAATAAACGAACTTGTGAGCTGGTTTTTTCACGCCATGAATTATGTTTTTCATGTTAATTTCCCAGCAATTACATAAATTCCGTGACTTTTTTGTTTCTTGAAATCAAAAGCGATTCTATCGCCTTTGCAGGTTGGTGATTAAGGTTTTTGGGCAGGACTCACAAATTATTGTGAACATTTCGCGTTGCTTGAGCAGTGTCCAAAAAAAACACACAGAAATCCTTTCTCCGGGCTATGAACGATGAGCGAAAGAAAGAAAAGCTTGTAAGACGGAATGTAAAGAATGTAGAATTGATTGTACTCGAATATTAGCTCGATTTGCATAATTAAGGTAAATAAATTTAATGAACTCTTGACATCGTTATAAACGTTTTGTTGGCACGAAAATCGTGTGAGAATGATGAAAGGAGAAGCGGCCTTTCCTTGCTACCGGTGGTTCGTCCACCACCACCGCCGTCAACGACAACGATGTGTTGTATTTCAGCCATCTCGTTATTCTTCTCTCTCTCTCTCTCTCTTTCTCTCTCTGCGTTTTCTTTATCCATTTAATTCATTCAGCACATGCAAAGGACTTATTTCTTTTTCTAATGAATGAAAAACATGTCATTTGCATATTACACGGTGAGTGTGTGTTTATGGAATTAGTTCCATTCTTATCGTGTCGATTCGACATAACAGTTTCACTTTGTGAACGTCATTAAAGCACACCGAAATGCCACTGGTGCATGTCTGACACATTTTTATTGGCTGGCTCCCTTTTATTCTACCACGTCGTCACAGTGAATGAAGCGAATAGTGCTCCTGTGAGGACAAAACGATTAGCTCGCCAACAGAGCAGCTTTTTTTTCTATTTGTACACACGCACTCCTTCGGCTTTAATGCAATGACAAATTTGCGTGCTTAGACCATTTGCATATGACATTAACTACACGATATAATGGCAAACGAGGCGTGGAAATTTCCCATGACATTCCAATTGCAGCATTCACTTTGTACAATGGGTATTAAATGATTGGACTATGCCAATTTTCTGTCACAGAGAAATTCTATCGTGCTTCAGCGAGTGGTAAACTTTTTACAGAGATAGGCTACAACGCGTCAAATCGACACGGTCAATTGATTTCGTCGTAAATTATCGCCAAATTACAACTTTGCAGGAGATTATTCTGCAGTTTCTTTTTTTAGCCACTTTTTCTACATTCCTGTTCAGTTTCTTTCATATTCAAAGGGCCATATGGAAAGTTAGTACATAAAATAAATCAAATGAGTGAAATAAACGGAAAAATTGTTGTAATTCAACGCCACACATAAAAGGTCACCACAACGGTGCATGGGCACAAAGTAATAAAATTTTTGTAATTAAGTTTGAAGTGTGTTGTTAGAGGGATCAACGGGTTCAAGAGGCCATTCAAAATTGATTGCTGTAAAAACACGTGTCTTTTTCCTTTCGCTCGAATGTGAACGTCTATTGAATGAGCTCCATTCAATGCATTTACCTTAGTTTTTCCCATTTATTTCATACATTTTCGCCTTTTTTTTAGCCAATCTCACGATGATATCGGAAAATATTGAATTTTGGCATTGAATTCGAATGGTTTCACACGGAAAATGAACGGTTGAAATGAATTTTCTTCCAAATTGAATGTTTCAATATCGACTAGTTGATCAAAGCCTTTGGTTCACAATTCAGTGATGGTGTGAGCACGAATTCGTGCTATCATTGTTGTGCAATGGTCAACAAAGCATTTATCGATTCAGGAAATAGTAATCCGAAAAAACGATTTTTCAAAACTAAACAGTACACTCTGCTGAAGGGTGATGAGTTTGCCCGGAAACGTGTATTTGATATAAGTCGACAAGTTTTTTTTTCTCGTCTTCTCTAAAATGTTATTTAACTTAATTACACATGCTTACACACGTCGGTCTATCTACAAGACATGGAAACTGAACCGTTGCCAATATATCGTTGAAAACTCATCACCAATGTTCGGTGTAAATGATCCGGTTGTAATGGCTTTAGTTTTGTGCATTCTCTCTTTCACATCGATGGTGTTATTGTTGTAGCAAACAGCTTTTGGTGTAAATACAGAGCGAAAAAAGCATCGATGACAACAACAACCAGCTATCTGAATCCATACAATAAGTATTTCCACTTGTTTATGCGATATATCGATAGCTTTGTGTACACGTATATCGTGTTAATTCTCGTTGTATAAAACAACGTTGGACAAAAAACAGTGCATGCCATTTCCTTTATGTGTTTTTATTTCGCTTTGTGAAAAGAAGTCACAAGCAATCGGCACGGCTCATGTTAACACACACAAAACAATGACAACGAACAAGCGAAACATTAAGCGTTTTTAACCTTTGCCATTTTCAGTGGTATTCATTAGCAACATTTCTGTTTTTGTTTTCAACATTTTCTGCCACGAACCGAAGAGATGAAAAAAAACCAAACGAATAATATTTAGAAGCATTGGACTTTGTGGGAGGTGCTGATTGGTTGGGTGTTTATGTTGTATTCTCTCGTTTTTTTACCGGTTTTGGTAAAAATAAAGCCAACGATTCGAACGATTCAAACAGAATTCTTCGGAGTTCTTCTGGGAAAATGAATGGTGCCAATGTAACAACTATCGAAAGAATTTCTGGTAAAATAAATATCGTGTCGTTGTTCGAGTGGAGAGAAAAAACACACAGAGAGAGAGAATCATCATCAATGATAGCAGCAGCTACAGCATTTGGATAGGGCTCATGAGTACAGTACACAACATAAACACTTATAGCACGGTGAATTTATGTTCGTTATTTGCATTTCTCGTTATAAATATTTGACGATACTCATTTCTGTTTATCGACACAAAACAGTTACTTATTTCGTATTTGCTGGAAGCGTCCAAAAACCGTTTCCTTTGTTCTATGAACACTCTGGCTCATGATGAGTTTGTGTGTGTGTGTGTGTGAGTGTACCCAGGCAGTCTTCTTCTCGTTATGTAGAATTTTTTTCGAAAACAAACTGTGGAAAACAAACAAACGAATGGAATGATAAAACGGAAAGGATATTTGTCCGGTTTTTAGCATGTAAATACAACATGGCACATAATTTTATGTCTACATTACGGGCGGAAAAAATGAAACACACACGAACAGAGAAAATTGAAATGCGACTCGACCGGCAGCGAGCAGTAGAATAACCAAAAAAAATTCGGCATAAACGAAAAATAAAGACATGTTGACATTTCAGTCAGCAATTCATTTGTAAATGTGGACGCTTCGTTCATTTTTTTTCTTTGTTTTTCGTTATCTTTGCCCGTTCACTCTCCACTACCGCCAGAACCATCTCTCAACTGTCACACCGGAGTCATGATCGTTCCCGTTTTAATAAATCACTCGTGGAAAATGTATAGCAGCGACAAACGAACGGAACGAAACAAAACAAAACAAAACACACTCTTGTATGCTTACTTGTTTATGTTTTTGTGTCTAGCCCGGATTGAGAGAGCAAGCATGTTTTGTATGCGCACCGTGCATTTTCGAAGCTGTGTATATGTGTGTCGGAGCTGCCAGTTTATCGCTACATTTTACTGTTCAAAAACAATAAATCACAAGCAATTCACATTTTTCATTCTTTCGTTTTTCCATTTGCGATTTTATGTCTTTTTTTCGCTTGTTCTCGGCAAGATTTTCGGCTCAAAACCAGACACATTGAATGAACTGAAATCGGTTGGAAAATGCAAACAATTTGTAACTAAAATCGCGTCTACATGGTGAACAACACGATTGCTAATAAAAATTTAATTGAACGAAACAACGAGAGCATGTAAAAACGATTAAATGTCAATGCAAACGGCAACATTAAACATTCGAGATGCTATCAACCGATGCTAATCGATGAAAAGTGATGCAAAAAAAAATTGAACATATTTCAAGCATTTAGAAATCGTTTCTATGTGTCTCTCGGTTTGCCTCTCTCTCCCATCTCCCTCTTCGGTTCAAATGTCAGCCGATTTTGATGCGACAATCCAATTGAATTCGAATAGCCGTGTGGGAAAACGTTTTCTTATGTCAACAGCTTTCATGTATGCATCAATTCAACAACCATTACTTCGTTTTGATTGTATTGACGTGCGACAATGGATTTCAGAATTGTAATTTAAATGTTGTAAATCGGTTTCGTTTCATGAGCTCACTGCATTTCACACACACACACACAGTTAAAATTAGATTTATTTATAGCATCATCGTCTCTATCTCCTGACTCATTTTAGATTTTGATTGTTTGTTTTTACTTGTGAATTAATCAAAAACCAGATCTCAACGGAACCTACTGTGAACTATGTTGACACCGAGCCAATTCAAATCATTCATTTCTGCTTGAAACTTTGATTTATTACCATTTTATCACATGAGAACTTGACGAACTTCAATTCATTGCCGTCAACGACGTATTTGTCGTTGTCGTCGTCGTCATCTGCTAATTGTATAACTTTGATGTGAGAGGAATTTTAAATGAACTTTAATTGGTTTCGGCTAATTTTAGTTAATCAACTAAAAGTAGCATCAAGCGCTAAAATCTGGCTTACGATCAAATGAATAGCGACGAGAGAGAGAGAGAGAGAAAAGAACACACACAATTTGATTGGCACATCTCAGGCTTGAAACAAATGGTTTCTTGTTTGTTAACAACCGCAGCAACAAAAGTGATAACATGTTTTCAATGGTTCCTGAGAATGTGTTCAAGACTTTGTTACTTGGCGGATGTGATAAAAGGTGGTTCATTATCGAAAATGGCCAAGCCCATAAAAAATGTAAGCGAGTTGATACATTACCGAAAAATGTGTCGTCTTAGCAACCATGCTAATCGTTTTATCATCAAAATGTACCTGGAAATAAACAAAAAAAAACGGCAATTAAATTAATTATTCAAAATGCACTCAGAAAAAACCCATCGATTGGGATAAAAATGAAAATTTATTTGACAAATATGTTGTGATTCTATTTTTATGGTGTTGTTGTATGTGTGTGGCGATAATGTGAAGCAGAGAATAAAAAACATGAATGCGCATTCAGCACTTTACAATGCGTTTTTTTCTGTGTCGATCCCACATAATGCGGCGAACGTGGATGAACGTTGAAAACTTAATCTCAGCTTAAGAGCCGCTGCCGATGCGATTGTTTACAGTGAAATAAATACGCGCGGCGTGAAACACACACATCACATTCAGTGTGACACAATTCATTAGCGTCATTCAAACTGCGAGAGATCCTCTTAACAAACAAATTTAGTCGCGGCTTAACAACGGAATTTGGCTTTTGTCGTCTTTCACACTAAATCACTTAATCAGAGGAACTAAACCGAAATTACAAGTTGAACAAGTTTTTTTTTCTCGTCGTCTCTTCTGTCTCTCGGCTGATCCTTTTAATTTTTATCAACATAGCACTTATGTTAAAATATTCCCGCTTTTTCGTACGAATTATATATTCACGTTGTCATGTCAATAAACCATTTACGCATTCTGATCATTTTGAAGCAGCCTCCGCAGCCCATTTCAGATACACACACAGAGGGAGTGAGTGAGATCGAACAGTTGAAAAAACATTTCAAACTCAAATTCCGAATCTCCATTTCAAGCATATAAATTTTAGATTAAGTCTATTGCAGCTGATGAAATGCAGTGCAGAGGCAGAGTGACATAGAATGAAACCAACGAAAATTGTGTGTGTCGCCACACAATGATATATTGGGTTTTCACGCGTGTCGCTTTAAAAATGTATCAACAAACATTAACGTTTGAGACAAAAAAAAAACTGATTGAACATTTCCGAGTGGGGCACGATAAATGCCACAAAGAGAAACGACCACAATATGGAAATCTATTGGAACTATAATCGAGTACAACAGTACGACAAACATAAAGATATCAACGCCTCATGGAATTAAACTACATTTTATGCCCATACGCATTTGTACATCGAAAGACCATGTAGCACGCGCTGCTTTTCAACAACTTCGACGCTGCCGCCGTTGTCGTCGTCGTCGTCGTCGTGTAGGTACGACTCGTTGACGATCTGGACATGCACCGTTTGTCGAAACCGAAAATAATCCGCGTTGGTCGCACTAAATCAACATTAATAAAACATCAAAAATCCACATTTTGTCACTTTGAGTGTGTGTGTGTGTGTGTGCGCGCGACTTTGTGGTTTTTTCAGTAATCCACTCGAATAGAACTAATTAGATGGAAATAATGCGGCCGCCTTCGAAGCAGAAGCAAAATCAAAACATATATGAAAGTATCGATCAACCGTAGAGTTCAGCGAGATCAAAATAAACATAGAACAAACAGATGTAAAAACAAATGCCGATAGTTATCCGCATATGAGAGAGATAAAATATTTCGCCACGGTCGTGTATCGTATCGGTGGCATATTAAAACATAGGCATTTAACAAATTTTCATTTATGTTTATTTTATGCGGTCGATTTGATCTCTTGCCGAGTTGATTTAAGTTCGTTCGCTCGTTTAAGAAGCCCAATGTCTATAAATATTGTAATTGCTATTTCTGCCGCTTGTCGACGTACTAATCCATTTTACGAAGCGCACAACCCGAACAAAAAAAAAAAACAACAGCAACAATATCAGCGGCAGCAAGAGAAAGAAAATCCACAATGTGAAATAAGAAATAAATCGCACCGGGAGAGAATCAGACGCATCGCGCATCGTTTAGATATTTTCACAGTGCGGGAATTCATTAATTTAATTTTTTGTTTTCGATCAAAACACGCGGGACGCACACGCATTTTTTCGACTCATTAATTCCGTGGTCCATTTTTTCTTCTCCTCTCGTTCAATTCATTGGCTCGCGCGCAGTCTTTCATCTTCTCGTTTGCTCGCCAAGATTTATTTTCGCCGTTGTCAAATCAATAATTAATTTGACTTTTAAAGCTGCTTGGAGATTTGGTGCCTTGTGCTATCTCGTGCCACTGAAAGAACTGATGGCGTTCTATTTTTCTTCATCTGTTCAGGGGGGCAGCCTGATTTCGATGCTCTCTCTCCATTCATCGATCATTCGATGCCAGTTCATATTTATAAATTAGTGTAAATTGTTATTTAAAGATGATACAAATTTGGTGGGTTCATCACATCGAAAAAGAGAGAGAATTTATTTGATGTGCTCGCTCAAGCCGATTGTGCTTCGTTGATTCGGAAATGAAAATGCGGTGGCGTCGATGCTACAAAAACATAATTAATCTTCTTTTACTCGAAAATTTGTTCACATTTTTGTTTTTACAAGTGGAACACAAGAAATCTGTGCAAACAGCTCGAAAAAAAACCATTGCCAGAGAGATGAAAAGGCACAAACGAATCATCACAAAGAAGCAGTGAAGGAAAAAAAACACGCTGAAATGAATTTGTAACGATTCGAACGAATCAGATTTTAACACACTGTATAATCGTAAAAAAGACAAATTCATTTTTCATCTCTTCTCGTGGCTTCTTCATTCGCGCATTGTTGGCCTGTTGGATGTTGTTTGAGCCGTTGCCAAAGATGAGTTTCAGATGTTGGCAAACATGCCGTTGAATCGTTGTCATTGACGTGCGCGCGCGTCCGCTTTTTTCATGGTTCGCTTTTAATTATATTGATGATGTGTGTTGTACATTTTGTTTCATGAGATTTAATGCTTTTTCCTCTTGGTTTTTTTTATTACGATCTTTAAAAAGATTTTTCGAAGAGAGAAAGACAGAGCGTGGAATAAAAAACAAACGCGAGTTTATTTTCTTTGGCATTCATCGTTTTGGGTGACGATGACAGAATAAATTGAAACTGTAAAAGTATGGGTAGCATACGAGTAGCGAGTAAATGAGTCGCAGATGAGTGAGCATCTGAACGTGAACATCATTCACTCGTTGTTTTTTTTTCACGATTATTTCTTGTCGCTGTTATAAAATTTACCATAAAAATTAAATATATTCCTGTGTTTTTTCCTTCTCAACGGCGTTTTTTTTGGTCTGTGCTTGTTGTGCTTCAGTCTTATTAACTCTAATAATTTGATAAATTACGATGCGAACGAGTAATCTAATCATTTTTATGCTAATTGCTGTTGAAAATATGCACGCCTTTTTTCCACTCGGTCTCTAATTTACCCGTTTTTGTGAGTTAATGAATACTTTGGTCTTATCATTAACATTGTGTCCCACTCGTCGTCGCTCTTCTTATTTTTGGGCACCATTGACTGATGCTGGAGTTTATCTTATAATTATAGTTATTAACTTGTCAAAAAAATATCTATCTAAAAACGGTAATTTGAATAGATTGGAACGATTGTTGTAAAGTTGTTGTTTTATTTGTTGTGGCATCATCGACCGAATACCCATTGACGAGCCATTTAAATCCATTTTAGGCAGTTTTGTGAGTGATTTTTATTAAAAGAAACTGCGCCGAAACATTTGTTGCCATTGTGCCATTTTATCCACACTAAATTACGCAAATCGATTCAAGTTCTCAAAATAGATCTTAATCGTTCGGTCTGGGTTCGCTCGCCATGGAAATCTGATATAGTTACTTGTATATCTCGTGTTTTTATCTGTGTCTTTGACGCTCAGATTTAAGGCAATAAATTTGCTTGCATGAGGTCAGACCGAAAGCAATAATTTTTGTTGGCATCGAACTCTCTCTCTCTCTCTCTCTTTCTCTTGGTGTGTGTTTTTTCTGCTGATTTTATCGGCGCACATGTTTCATATAGCGACCATCCTTCTGGTGTTTTTTTTTCATCTTTTGCTCAGCATTTTTCTCTTCGTTCAGCTTTATTCGCTGCGTCTCATTTTCATTCATTTTTAATGAATTCATTTAAATTTATTACATTTAGATAAGACGTTTTAGCACTCGATTGTTCGCCATCCATTTCAGTGTCATGCTGAGCGACACACTCGCCATATTAAATTTATGCAGTCACATCAATTAATTCCGATGTGATCGCATAAAAATCAGATATATTTTTTCTCTTCATTCTTGTCGTGGTGGAATTTTTTCGGGCAAAAACTCAACAACAACAAAAAATGTTGTTCAATTTAGCTTGTTTTTTTCTTTCTTGTTGTCCGGAAAGTCAAAGAGGAAAAAAAAATAAAAAAAACATTAAAAGCTTAGCTTTGGTTATAGTTTTTTTGGTGGTAAAAATAATCTCTGTCTCACCATATTTCGTTATTCATTCATTTTAATTCGAAAACTCAAGGAAAAAATCACAGATTTTGTTGCTCCCGAAAACACATATTGTTTTTTTTTCTACGTAGACGATGATAATCCAATCAATTCGAGGAAGAAAAAAACAATAATAATCGAATCGATTCAAGAGAACACACAAAAAAAATAAAACGATATGGTGAAACGATTGTTCGATCAATTCAAAAGCTTACGCAAATTAATCGACCACAAAAAAGAAGATGAAATCAAATGATTAAAGTTGTCCATTTTAAATTAGTTGATTATTATTATCAGCATCATCATCGTATTACACACTCCAGATTAATGTGCCGCATCTCATATTCTTTCGGCGCGAGGAAGGAAGAGCCGAAAATTAAAAATGCAAACGGCGAATGATGTGGGTTCAGTTTCCTCTTGATTTGTGTGAACAAGTGAGCGTCCAAATTGACGCGCTCAAAATGTCAAGAATGCCAAAAGTTATTTGGTGTAAAATCCAATTCGATGAAGTGTATCAAAGGCATTAGTGGTTTTTAATTCGTTCATCGGTTCGATTTTCTTTTATTCGGTTTCGAATGTGGGCAGAACTAAGAGATTCTTCGAATCGTTCATTTCAATCGATTCGAAGCGGAACGCGCAACATCAATAAAAGTAAATGGTTCTGTGAATGATTTCGAGAACTCGCATTT